CTTCTTGCTAAACTGAAGCAATGGAAGTGTAATTTTTTTATTCTGAGACAAAAGAAAACTTCACTGAAGTGAAGTCATTTACATATGTGGTTCAGATAGGCCATGTTCCACTACTCCACCCAGGCTGCGTTATCGAGCGCAAATCCGCAGAGAAACTTGTGTCAGCAACATTTAATTTAAAAACTGTCCTTTTGAGGTTAACATATGTTTATAATTAATTTCAATAAATTTACAAGTTAAAGGGCATGGATTTTTGTATCAAAAAAATTTCAAACCGTGACACTAAAAATATCGAACTGAACTGAATCATGAATTTTCTGTACCGTTGCTCCCCTACTATTGAATAATTATTACATTTGTTTAGTGTAAGAATTTTATTAACTAACATGTTTTAAACACTGAAATTTTTTTCAACAAACTGTTGATTATGAAAACAGAATGAAAAAAAAATCAAACCTCCATTAAGCTTCCTTACATAACATTTTTATATGTTTTTATAAATTATATTTTAAAATAAAGATTAAAACACAGACTCAACTTTATGATACTTTTTTACATTTAATTTTTAAATATTTGCACTGCTTTCCTCCCTTCCCTCCAGCTTTCTGAGGCCCCCCTAGCTCCTCCAAGCGGCCCCCACTTTGAAAAACACTGGTCTAAGCTGCTATTGATGGTGGGAATGTCAGGTTGCTCACGAGTTTAGACTCAGCTTATCAATGATGTTTGAGTTCTGCAGCTTTCTTCCATCTTCACCAACGTTTATATATTTTTTTCCTTAAATCACATTTATACATTTAAAAAGCATTTTTATTTTCTTATCTATAGATGTTAAATATAAATGATACTCTGAGTGACATCGCACACAAGATCCTTAAAGGGGCAGTATCACCTAAAATCAGTCCTGATGCATCTCAGTAATCCAGGTAAAAAATCAAAAAGAAAAAAATTGTATAGGTCTTCTGGACGGGTTCTTCTCTAATGAAACGTTTCGTCTCTCCTCCAAGAGACTTCTTCAGTCTGCCTGAAACTCTCAGACTGAAGAAGTCTCTTGGAGGAGAGACGAAATGTTTCATTAGAGAAGAACCCGTCCAGAAGACCTATACAATTTTTTTCTTTTTCACCTAAAATCAACTTTTTTTGAGTTTTAAATCATGTTATAATGTTATCCTCTCATCAAAAACATACAGAGTCTTACTTTGACTCATTCATGTATGTTTGAGAAATCCTGTAGTGTCCTGAGGCAGCCAGGCAGGGGAGCAAAAACCACCGGTTGGGACTAGAACCTCCTTTTGGGAAAAGCTCCTCCTCTGTGTCTCCTAACTTCTTCACCACAGAGCACACACACCCGCCCCATGATAAAATGGGCGGGACAGAAGAAGAAGGAGGTTCTTAAAGAGACAGAGGCCAATTTCAAGGCGTTTAGAAACAGATATGACGAGAAGTCAAATTTAATTTCTGTTTAAACATATGAACATTTTAATGACAACTGAAGGTGACATAGTTACTTTATTGTGTATAGATTTTAAATATACTGTATGCCTGAGAAACACATAATATTGCCCCTTTAATAAAGCTATTTTCATGGTTTCGTGGCTACAACTCCATTATTTTCTCATCCCGAGCTGCTCTCAGTCTGAAAGCATGAAAGTTTGCAGGCATAATTATTTCAAGGAATGCTCAGGTTTTAGTTAAATAATTAAAAGTGAAGAAGTCATCCAGAATAACTCTAATGTTAGGTGATTACTCAACATAATTGCTTCAGTAAATACCTGTTTAAATATGTAAAAAAAATCTAAATTACCAGTTAGTAAAGCCACAGAGGCTGATTTTCTGTAAAGTCATGAACTAAAGAGAGCAAAGAAAACAACTCTGCTGTTCTGTCTGATTTGTGCTGATCGCAGATCAACAAACCTTTTCACCGCACTCGGCAGAACAGAGGACAGAGTGGGCAGAGATGAGGATGAGGAAAAGAACAATACAAAAGGAAAATACAACAAAAAAAGTGCTGATCTCTCTCTCTCTCTCCCTCTCTCTTATTCAGGATGCTGACTGTTTCTGTACAGAAAACTGACTCCCACGCTTCTCTGCCTGCATGGCCTATTTATCACTCTGATCAGCTCAGGAAGACACACACAGGAGACGAGCTCAGAACGCTCAGAATTTATCATCACCCGCCCGCCAAATGCAAAGGCGGGCTGATTCTGCTTTTTGCTACTTGCAGTTTTTTTTTTCATTTGAATAAATATACATGTGTCGTTTGCAGATGTAACAATACACCTTTCCCCTCTCTCGTTCAGTGAAAGCAGCGCTGTTCAGCGTGTCCTGCATGTGTTCAGGAAGCCACACTTTGTCCTCAATAATCTCTACACACTGTAATCTTTACCCACAGGAGCGCGAGACAAAACTGCACCTCCCTGAAAACAGTAATCCAATTGACCTGAAATCATCCTCGGCACAGCAGCCGCCATTGCAGGAGTTCACATCTCCCCTAAAGCGTCGGCGAGGCATCTCCCCGCGTCGCACGCTAGCCGTTACGGACGGACCGATGAGCGAATGAATTAGCGTTTTCATCAGCTCGGAGTAACAATCACTGCTGCTGCAGCTGCTGTGGAGATGCAGCGGTGAATCCTCAAATTATCAATGGTAAAGTGGGAGGAAGCTCCAGCTCTGTTACTGTCGTCGGCGGGTTTCGTTAAAAAAAAGCCTCGGTCCGGTAGTAATGATGGGGAGAAACGGCTAAACTGGAGGCACACCTGATCAAGGCTGCAGCGCATTAATTCAGATAAAACATATCAAATCAAACTGCTGTTTTTATTTTCATCTTGTTTTCTACTCATGCAGAAAACATGATGTGTGAGTCAGACACACTGATCTGAAATAAATGGTTTGTTTGGAATTATCTTTGCCTCTAAAGGTGACGCAAAGCATCTCTTTGATGTTTAAGACACATGCTGGGAGCTCAGTTTGGAGGATTGGTTTTAATTGAATTCTATAGTTATTTGTAAGAACGCTGAGTCAGCATTCATACTGTTTTCCTGTTTATAGTTTCTTCCGTACGTTTCTTGCGCTGAAACTACTTTTCCTTACTGTTTTATTTTAACAGTTGTCAGAATGTTCAGCTACACGAGGAACAGAACGTTATGACTTTTGTCTTTTGGAACTTTCATATTTTTTGACACATTTACTTTTATTTCAAATAATTTTTCTCCTAAACATGGATTGAAATCACATCAATATTTAAAAAAATACGTTCTCTTTCAAATCTACTTCTGCATGTTTTGTTCCCGTATGCTAGATTTAGCTTTAAGCTAATGTTATGTCTCTTTCGCCTAAGGATATGTTAAATTTAGATTCTAGATACTGTTTTGACTTTTAGCTACGATCACACTTATTATAACTTTTAAGAGTGATTTAGCTCATTTTAGGATTTAGCTCCAGTTTTACAGTTTATTTTAGTGTTTAGTATGGATTTAACTCCTTGGCTTGCAGCTACAGTTTTGCCCAATTTTTTGGTAGCCTAAAATTTAGTTGATTTACAGTAGATTTTGTAGAATTTATTTAATATTAGCATTGATTTAGCTAAACTGTTTTCCTCAGTGTAACTTTATATGGCTTAGCGGTTTTTTCTAGCTTTTAGCCGTTGTTTCACTTATTTTGGACTTTCGGTACAATGTTGCAAATTTTAGCTTTTTGCTATTGTTCTAAAAATTTAGCTTTGCACCAATATTCTGTCACTTTTATCTAAAGATATGTTAGTTTAGAGTCTAGATACAGTTTTGTTCATTTTAAATTTTAGCAAAATCACACCTATTTTAACTTTTGCTAATTTTAAGATTTAGCTTTTTAGCATTTATGGATTTTACTCTTTAGCTTGTGGCTACAGTTTTGTTTATTTTTAGGGTAACTATTTTGTTGATTTTAACTGTTCAGTGCCGTGCTGGCTCTAGCCATTTTGGTGCCCTAGGCGAGTTGAAGTGCAACACCCCCCCCCCCCCAACAACCAAAACTATGTCCCAACCACCCCAACTTGAACCCCTAAAAAAGTTTGACAGTGTAAGGTACTATGGTAAACTTAGATTTATTTGCTTTAAACACAAACATACATCACACAACAAATTAAATGAATAAATAAAGTAAATATAATTAAATCAAATGAAAGGGTAAACAAAAGACCCTGTTCACAATTTGTGCAAAGATTTAGAAGGTCCTCTCTTTTTGGAAAATATAAATCTGATTTTAACTCATAAGGTCCTCTGCTGACAAACTCAGTCCTCACTGTGTCAGAATGGATGTCAGTAGGATCAGCGGGCTGCTGATGTCAACCTGAGAGGAACTATTAGCCCCTCCCCCATCAGTGTGTCGGAGCAGGACGAGTCAGTGCAACGTCAATCAAATAAGAGAGAGGGTGGGGGTGATTGTTGCATTGGGGGATGTTTTATGGATAATTTATTTTTCCTGTAATACTTCATTATTGTTTTTTTTTTTTTTTTAGACAAAGCTAATTGAAAGGGGCGCTGAGCGGAGTTACAACCAGGGATTACAAATAATTACTTTTTTCTTCTGCAGTTTGGCGCCCCCTCCAGCAGATGGCGCTCTAGGCGACCGCCTAGTTCGCCTATGCCAAGAGCTGGCTCTGGATCAGTGTTTAATTTGGTTTTACTGAGTTTAGTTTTGGCATCTTTTTTATTTAGCTTTTAGCTACTTTCTTATTTTGGACTTCATGTACAATTCTGCTAATTTTAGCTTTTAGCTAATGTTCTAAAAATAGCTTTGAGCTAATGTTCTGGTAGTTTTGTTTATTCACTGTTTGGCTGGTTTTAGTTTGTGTCCAGCTCGTTTTAACTTTACAATTTTTTTTGACCAATTCAGCTTCCAAATGTAACCACTAACACTCATCATCGCAGCATTTTCCCAGAAAAATGCAGATTTCTCCTGTTAAATTCTGTTTGCACCAGAAACAAAACCTTTAAAGGTGGAGATCCAAAGAAGAAAGCCTCTTACCGCACAGCAGCTGCATCCAGGCACAGGTCTTGTAAACGGTGGAGGTGTTGCAGAAGAAGAAGAGCGCCATGCAGGCGATGCAGCTGAGGATCAGCACCATGGACAGCAGCACGAACACCGAGGCCGCCTTGAAGGCTCCGGACGGGATGGAGCTGAAGTCGGAGAAGCTGCCGGCGCAGTACAGCTCCCGGCTGCCGGCCCCGGGCTCCTTGCTCACGCAGTAGTGGAAGAGGCCGAAGTAGCCGGTCTGCGTCGTCTTGACGCTGTCGCCGATCCAGTAGGGCTGGATGAAGACCACCACGTTGACGATGGCGAAGCAGATGGTGAAGATGGCCCACAGCACCCCGATGGCTCGGGAGTTGCGCATGTAATTGTCATGGTAGATCTTGGAGGCTTCTTGGGAAGGCAACATGTTTAGTCTATTTGAGTGAATTTATTCTTACTATATTTCACACTTCTGTTCTTTACTCTTATATGAGATAAATAATATTACAAAAAAAAAAAAAAGGAAAGAAAAATCCCACACAGCTTGACACACCTCAATATCCAGATCTGTCCCCCCCTGCGCTAAGATCCCCCCGCTTTGGAGGTGTCTTCTATTAAAGGCTATTAAATGGGCCTAAAAACATCAAATGATGAAGCTGAAAACGTGAGATTAAAACACAAAACATTATGACTTAATAGGGAATGCTACATTAAAGCAATATAAAATCACAGCCTATTCTACCTCTGATGAATAATTTACCAACACCAGTGATTCAACATTGCTGTCTTAGGCTGCTTTCCTTGGGGCTACACCAGAAATGATGAAGAAGAAGAAAAAAATCCATCAAAACCAGGATTTCTTTTTTTTCTCTTCCTTTCACAGTCAGGTGGAGGGGGGCTAAAGATTCCTGTCATCCTCATCCATCAGCTCAGAGCTCGGTGTCCTTTTTATTCCCATCCGTGAGATGAAGCGTTGCCCGTGGCGCCGGCGGTGGAGCCCGTTTTTACCTTCCGAGGCATCCGTGTGTGTGTGTGTGTGTGTGGGTGTGTGTGTGTGTGTGTGTGTGTGTGTGTG